ATTGTAATGATGTATTTGTTGTATTACATTGTAACAAGCAATCTTTGCGTTAGAACGCGCTGACCTCCGGAACTACTGGGCCGATTTGAATACTTCTTTTTGTGTTGAATAGTGCATTTATCGAGGAAGGTTATATGTCCATGAAACATTAAGCTAAGATGAACGGGAGCCGAGTAGAGCGGGTTAAACCGCGCCAAAGTCGCGTCATTAAATAAAACATCTACTTACCACTGTATAAAGTGCGCAGCGTAGCAAATAGCACTACAAAGAAGGTAGTGGAGTATTTCCCAGCGTTGACCAAGTGTGGGAATGCCTCCCTACTGTCCCTGTATCGACGCAGACATTGGAAGAACCGCGTCCAAGCCGGGACCACGTTCACTAGTGCACGGGTGATTATGAACCATTGTGTCCGCTCGAATGAGGCTGTTGAGGGAAATTGTTATCAAAGTGTTTGGACGTAAAGTTGATATTTTGATAATTAAATAACATTTAATAGAATCACTTTATTTCTGAATGTGTAGCGGATTTGATTCCCTCATGGCAACTCTTTGTGTGATCCAACCGTTGTTGTTTCGAGTGACACCCATGACATGTGTATGTAAACTTGTATGTTTTTTTAATCTTTTTTTTTTAATTGGGGAAAATCATCGAATGACTGCTCCCGCCTGGGTGAGGCGGTCAGTGTCGGAGTGTCAGACTCTTACTAACTAAAAACCACCCCGTTCCTTCTCCTGCACGTCGAGCCAGAGCCCCGGTTATCCGTTAGGTTCTCCGCTACATGTTTTTTTAATCTTAAACCTAAGTTAATTGTGGAGATTATAGCAAACTATCTTATGTAGGGGATACCTAAAGTCCAGTTACTAGTGTATACTTCACTAGTGTTAACGAAGTATAAAAGTGCCTTTATAACAACTTTTACGGGTTATATCTGTTTAGCGACGTGGCTCGACTAATTTCGAACCACGCTAGGGGCTTTAATTCTTTGAGTCATCTCGCCAAACAATTACGTAAGCCGTGAAATATACATACATACGTAACCTCATTCTTGTCTCCCATGGTATCAATTGGCGTTCCATAATCTCCCCCATGGGTAGGCAGAGACTATGGAACGCCAATTCCTACGATTCTTACATACCTCTTTCGCTTTCTAAACGAAACATGATTAATTCAATGTCTCGCGACATATATAACTTACCGTTAACATTAAACCAGTCGCTGCCAGTCGTATAGAAAGCTATAAGGTAATGGAAGTCCAAGAAGGCCGCAGCGAATGAGTTCCACTGGTCAGCCAGCCAGAAATCCGCGAACAACACTGGCATGAATGGCGCAGCTAATATACGTCCCTGTAACAATGAGATTGCGGTTCAATATCAAATAATAACAAAGTAGGTAGATACTTTGTTATTATTTGCTTAATTTCGGATTGTATTGTAACTTTCGTGAGACATCAATACATAGTATAAAACAAAGTCGCTTTCGCTGTATGTCCGTATGTATGCTTAGATCTTTAAAACTACGCAACGAATTTTGATGCGCTTTTTTTTAATAGATAGAGTGATTCTTAAGGAAGGTTTGTATGTATATACATATTGCACCCGTGCGAAGCCGGGGCGGGTCGCTAGTACTAAATAAATTATTATGTTTTCGGCTTACTCACGTAGTAATTCGACGAGGAACTCGACTAGTTTCAAGAGCCTGCTACTGTCGCCGCGT